TCCTGGCTTTGGTATTAGAGTGATGCTCGCTTCATTGAAGGAATTTGGAAGGTTTCCCTCCATTTCTATCTTTTTGAATAAATTAAATAGCATTGGATGTAGTTCTTTAAATGTCTGATAGAAGTCTGCTGTAAATCCATCTGGTCCTGGGCTTTTTTGTAGTCAGGAGGTTTTGTATTACTATTTCAGTTTCTTTTCGTTATGGGTCTGTTTAAGCTGTTAATCTCATCTTGCTTTAGTTTTGGTGGTTCCCATGCTTAGATACCTATCCATTTCTTTTAGGTTTTCAAATTTAATATCATGTATGTTTTATTAAAGTAGTCCCTTGTAATGTTCTGTATCTTTTTTGTGTCTGTTGTGATGTTTCCCCTTTCATCTCTGATCTGTTGATTTGGAGGTGCTATTTCTTTCTTTTGGTTAACTGGGAATAATTTGTTCCAGGCTCTTCTGGCTTTCATAGTTTGCACTGAGAAGTCAGCTGTAATTCTGATAGGCTTTCCTTTGTATGTGACTTGTTTTTCTTTTTCAGCTTTCAGTATTCTCTCTTTGTTCTGTACTTTTAGTGTTTTTACTATGTACTGTGGAGAGTTTCTTTTCTGGTACTATTTGGTGTTCTACGTCCTTCTGTGTTTTTTTGGGCATGTCTTTCTTTAATTTTGGGACCTTTTCCTCTACATCCTGTTGAAGATCTGGTCCATACCATTATCCTGAGATTATTCTCCTTCCTATATGCCTTTGATGCATAAGTTTGGTCTTTTTTGGTGTCACATAATTCTTGCATATTCTATTCTTGTGTCTTCTTAAATTTTTCACATTTTCTTCAGTGGTCAAATTAGTCCACTTTATCTTTCAGTCTTGATATTCTGTTTTCCATTTCATTCAACCTATTGGTGAGGCTTCTCTTGTCATTTCTAATTAGCTTACTGTTTCACTTCCTTCTTCATTTCAGCCTGAGTATTCTTCAATATTTCTCACTCTTTTCTCAATTCATTCAGAAGTTTATCCCTATCTTCTTTCAATTCTTTGATTTCTTTGTTTGTGTGTTCTTTAAAACTGAATTCCTTTATCATGTTTGTAATTGTTCCTTTGAGTTCCATGTCCTGTGTTATTTCTAGGGGTATCTTATTGTAGTCCTCTAGAGGACTGTTGGTACTTGGTAGGGATATATTATTTGGGTTTTTCATGTTATTTTTTCTCTGTGACTTTGACATGTGGATTCCTTTTGTAATTTCTTGTTCTTGGGTGAGACTCAAGTCTTCCTTAGGTCTGCTTCTTTTTGTGAAGTTTATGTGCCTTTACTTGTTGGGCATGAAAATCAGGTTGGTCTAGGCTTCAGATTCTCTCTTTTGATTTTGTATTGAAGTGGCCAAATTGCTTTTGTCTTGCTGCTCAGGAGTTCCCACAGAGGTCCAAGTCAGATGAGGACCAGATGTTCTCAGGCTTTCTCCTAAGGTCTGGATCCCTCAAGGAAAGATGCTGGCCTCAGGAATTTTAGGGCTGTGCTGACCTGGAAGCAGGGTCCAGGAAAGATGCTGGCCTCCAGGGATGAAAAGTGAGGTGGGAGTGAGAAGAAGCCCAAGGGCTTCTGGGGACTTCAGGGAGGAATTGGGTTGGTCTGGATGCAAAGGATCAGGAAGTAGTGGGGATTCTGGGCTAAGAGAACAGTCCATGGGTCTGGGGTACCATTATAAGAAAAGGGCCAGTGCTCCTGCTAGGAGGAGTGATGGGGTGGGGGAGTTGGGAGGGTGAATGAGGCTGGAGGAGTCAAGGTGCAGTGGGTGCAGCAGCCAAACTTACCCAGGCCAGATTCTGGCTCCAGGAAGCTGTGTGGCTAGCCATTTCCTTCTCTTTATATATTTAGATTGACATTTGAAATTGATTGTTTACAAGCTTAGGGTCTGAAAACTACATTTTAATGGCATATAAAATTCTCAAAAATGGTTCTAGCATATAAGAATGCCCTTAAAAATTTTAAGTTATACTTCCATGATTATTTGGACTATCCTTCATTTTGTATTCATAAGAACAACACATGTGAATGATGTCATGCTTTTTATTTATAAAACAATCATATTTCTATTTTATAGTTTCAAAGATTTTATAGGTTTTATAATTTGAAAATTGCTTGCCCTTATAGAGACTTTTGAAAGTTCCTTTTATTTATTTTTTAAATAAGTACATGTTACATGCTGCACATATTTCCCTTATCTCCCAGTATTATTCTTCTTCACGCTCCCATTTTCCCTTCGTGCCCTTTGCTTCCTTAAGCAACTGTGCTTCAATTTTCATGACACATATAACATTTGTCTTTCTGAAAGTGCCTTAACTCACTTAATATGGTCATCTCAAGTTGCACACATTTTCCTGCAAATGATGTAACCTCCTCTTCATGACTGAAAAGACTGAATTGTATATCTATGCCACATTTTCTTTACCCATTCTTCTGTTGTTGGACATCAAGCTTGATTCCATAACCTAGTTATCGTAAGTAGTACTGCAATAAAAATGGATGTTGATATGGTGTGATATGCTGATTTGTGGTCCTTTGGGTAAACAGGAATTCTATAGCTCGGTCATACGGTAGATCTATTTCCAGTTTTGGTGAGGAACCTCCATACTGACTCCCAAAGTGACTAAACTAGTTACAGTCTCACCTGCAATGTATACTGGTTCACTTTTGTCCATATACTTGCCAATGTGTTGTTTTTTAATGACAGTCATTCTGACTGTGGTAAGATGGAATCTCAATGTAGTTCTGATCTGCGTTTAAGTCCTTCTCATTCATACAATAGTATGTGTACACCAGTGGAAATGGATAATATGCACTAAAAATTGATATGTATATGCATATAAAATCGTGTGCGTATGTGCATGCACATCTGGAATTCAGCAAATAGAAAAAACTAGAAAATGTAAAGACCTTGGTTAATATGCTGTCGCCAGAGTTCTTTCAGAGTCTCTTGCACGGTTAGACAAACCATATCATATTTTTATGTGAATTTATTTGTGCCCTCACGTAGGGAGGGGTCAAATGGGGGAACTTACACAGAGACAAGCACTCTTGTGCTGTGGCTCAGAGTCTACCACCAGATGCTCCCATGGCCCACCCATAGTCTCTGTTAACTTTTGCCCACGCATCTTGGGCCTGCAGTCTTGTCCCAGGTTGGAAAATGCCCTCTCACGTCCATGCAGGTGAGGTGTCGGGGCCATCTTTCTCTCCACGCCCACTGCCACTGCATGTTCCTCCCACCTTGTGGCTTCAGTCCCAAGATGGTGCAGAAAACCCCTCCCCAGTCCATCCTCCACAGCAGGCTCTGCCTCTCAGAGGAACTAGTCACCTGGGAGACACATCACTTTAAGAGGGAATACCAAGGATAAACCACCTTTATAGGCCATACCTCTTAATAGCACGACAGTGGTGGCACCAAGCTTCCAATATATGAACCTTTGGGAGAAAAACAGCATCTGAACTGTAGAAACTAAATGGTAATTAATTCTAAATCTGAATTTTATAATACAAAATATGTGCTATGGATTAACTACACCAAAATTTAATTATTTCTGAGACATTCTAATTTTAGAATTGGAAAATTGAGCATTATTAACCCTTATAATCAAATGTGGATATAATCAAAGTGTTTTCCTTGACTTTTATTTCTACTGCATAAATATATTTGCATAGTCTATGTCAAATGCATAAGATAGATATATAAAAAGCAGGATTATAGTAAAAAAAACAACTTGTAACCCCTCAATAGTACTAAACAGAATATGGATTTCAATTTATGAAGATTTTTCAAATATTTTGTGACATCTCAGTAAAAATCTATTCAAGAAAAATAGAAATGCTTTTATAATTGGAATCAAGATTATGCTGCTATTTTGGCATATAACTCAATTTATTAACAAAGTTATTATTTTCATTAGTTATAACATCAGTTGTGTTCAAGGATATTTAAATAAGAAAAAATGTTCTTGGGTATTTTTCAGATATTTATAATACTCAAGTGTTCTTTAAAAGAGCCTAAATCTTTTTTTTTTTAAGAAGCAAAATCTTTGTATCAATCTGCAACTTTTCATCATTTGTCTCTCTCCCCTGTAGGCAAGCTATAGAAACTATAATTTTCTTATCCCTAAGACAAGTCAGAGAAAGTAGGGCCCATTTTCCTCTAAGACAGCTATATAATGCACAAATACTACTATAAACTCCCTATGCTTATCTGTTTGAAATGGTCAAACGGACACTTTTTTTATCTAATTTGAGAGTAGGTCATAAGTCCCTGAATTTGAAAGAACTCCTGACCTATACCTGGGGAAGGAATGCCACACAGTGAGGTCAAGAAGAAACTAAAGACAGGAATGGCTAGGTTCCCCTTCTGCCCATTCCTAGTAGGTCATAAACTCTTTGTCCAATCACATCACCATACTACTATCCTTCCATTCAGGGGAGTTTCTCCTTGGTCTTTGGGTCTATCATGTGAAATTATAGTTATGTATTCCTCTTATTGACCTCCTTTTGTTTAGAGTGTCAGTGATCCTTGAGAAGAGGAAAGGTCAGGGTTCATTTTGCCTCTCCATGTTTTATCAGGCACACTGTGTTCGCTTTACTGCTTAGTAGACACGTGTTATTATTATCAAAATGCAATAAAAGTGATCATGCCAGACAGAAAAAAACCTGCCTAGGGGAAAAAAAAAATGAAAGAAAACTGAAGAGTTATGTGTTGTTAAATATGCCCTTCTTTTACAAAAGGCACAACTGAAACACAAATCACTTTAAGGGTTTCACATACTCATATACAAGTAACTTACCAAATCCTCAAAGTTGTTAGTTAAAACCAGGCAAATGAACCATTAAGACCTAATGTTAATCTATATGTAGTCGTACTAAAACAATGTTCAGACTGCCTTTAGAGATTTTAAAGGACGTTACATAAAGCAATAAAGATCTTATAAAGGATAACCAAACTTACAGAAACATGTAAAAACAGTAAACTTCAAATAACAGTCATGGAAAACTTTTAGAATATTTAAATGGACCAGATTTATTTATCAACTCAAACAACCATCTGTAGACAGATAATTTAAAAATCCTCTATGGGCCAACAAACCAGAAAATATTAAATGTGTGTGGACTGGAGTGACGTGTAGACTGAGTTCCTAAGTTATAAATACTATCTTCTCTATAAAAAGGAAGTACTTCATGGGAAATCCAAGGAACACCGATTTTATAAAACACATTGAAAATGCTGGTCACTTAGGAGATATCGGTGGAGGCTTTAGGGGACAGAAGAATGAACAGACTTGACCAACTCAAATACATAGTTCACCTAAGACCAAAAACAGGAAAAACCATACAACTGGTCCTCACAATACTTTGAAAACTTCAAGAATTAGGAGGTGCTGGCACGGCACCCAGGTCAGACTACAGTCACTTGGGCCTGGTGGCCCGCCACAAGTGCTCTGCAGGCCTTGGAAACCAAAGCAACCGACTCCCTTCCGCTTAGCAGGCAGATGTAGCGCACTCCCGGAAGTGCCCAAGGGTGGGGCAGAGGCCCACGCAGTCCAGAACTTCCACCTGCAGAGTGTGAGCAGAGGATTGGCGCCTCAGGCCACGGCGAGCTCAGGGGGCGGGGCGCGGCTGCGTGGGCGGGACAGGCGCAGGCCACGCCCCACCCCGCCCTCCCGGGCCTCTGCAGACGGCCAGAGTGCCGGGGACGTCCGGGTCCCGGGTGGGTGGGCCGGCTGGTAGCGGGTCGCCATTTCCCGGTGGGCGCGGACCCTCCTGCTCGCGGTGCAGCTGCAGCAGCGCCCGGCGGTACATGGCCTCCAGCTTCTCCAGCCGGGCGCGCAGGGCCCGCGGGCTGCCCGGTCCGTCCTCGTGGCCTCCGCAAGGCGCCCGGGCGGCGGGATCGTTGGGGCCGAGGGTGACGTCCGACGCCCGCTCGCCGCCGTCGCCGGGGAGCCGCAGGGCCTGCCGGAAGAGGCTGCGGTTCTCGCGCCTCAGCCGCCGGTTCTCTAGCCGCAGCCGCGCGTTCTCCTCCCGCAGCCGCGCGTTCTGCCGGTCTCGCTCGTCGCGCACGCGCAGGGCCTCCAGGTGGCTGGCCGCCAGGTCGGCGAAGCGCTCCTCCAGCTGTCGTGGGGCGCCGCCCGCGCGGCCTCGCCAGCCACCGCCGCCCTCACGGGCTCGGCCCGGGCGGCCCGGCCCT